GAAACTGCAAATCACTTCTGGTGTGAGAGAATTGGCTATCTGCAAGGACTTTGCCCAGAGGATGCCCAGATATTTGATGTTTCACCATCCTTGTGGGAGACTTCTCTCCTGTCCCTGCATGGGGAGCTGGAGCTGACAGAGGGAGCTCATCCGCACTTTCTCTGGATTCGAACCTCCAACCTGCTGGCCCAAAGATTTAACCCATTATGCCAGGGGCTGCATCAACAGGAGTACAGGGTCTAGATTAAGGGAAGTCATAGACCCATTCTATTCTGTTCTGGTCAGACCTCACCTGGAGTACTGTGTCCCATTCTGGGCACTGCAATTCAAGAAGGATTTTGACAAGCTGGAATGTGTCCAGATAAGGTTGTCCCAAATGATCAAAGGTCTGGAAGTCAAGCTCTACGAGGAGTGGCTTGATGGACCTGGGTATGTTTAGTTTGCAGAAGGCCGAGAGTGGATATGATAGCCGTGTTTACATATTTGAAATGATGTTTGTTTCCTGCTGCTTTAGAGACCAGGACACAAAGCAATGGATTCAAACTGCAAGAAAAGAGTTTCTGTCTAAACATTAGGAAGACCATTAGTATGAGATGGTCAACAGAGCAACATGCTGCCTTGGAGCATGGTAGAGTCTCTTTCTCTGGAGATTTTTAAGCAAAGGCTGGATGGGTCCTCTGCCAGGAGTGCTTTAATTGGGTATTCCTGCATGACAGAATTGGGGTGGACTGAATGACCCTTGTGGTCTCTCTTTCAATTTATTTATTTACAGCTTTTATATTCCGCCCTTCTCACCCCGCAGGGGACTCAGGGCGGATTACAGTGTACACATATATGGCAAACATTCAATGCCAATTTTTGACATACAAACATATACAGACATACACAGAGGCTATTTAACTTTTTCTGGCCGCCAGGGGAGCTGTCGCTTTCATCGTCCATCTGCAACGCTGATGAAGTACTTCCGCATTCCCCGCATGCTTCCCCACTGGAATGCTTTGCTGGAGTCTTCTTTATGGCCTCATAAATTAGTTAATTTAGCCTCCCCTCACTTTAAGGTGGTACCTAATTTTCCTACTTGACAGATGCAACTGTCTTTCGGGTTGCAAAGGTCGACAACAGGTTACACAATTGGTTGGAAACCCACTCCAACCCGGGCTGGCTTCGAACTCATGACCTTTTGGTCAGAGTGATCTTAATGCAGCTGACACTCAGCCAGCTGCACCACAATCCTGGTGTTCTTTCAACTCTATGATTCTGTTATTCTCATGACATCTTGTGTGAAAGATGAATACAGTGTTCCCACACTTATTGCGGGGGTTCCATTCCAGGACCACCTGCGATAAGTGAAAATCCGTGAAGTAGGGAAGTCATATTAATTTTAATATTTATACATTATTTTATATTCTTTATTTATTATTTTCTTACCCGCACTTCCTTACCCACCTCCTGGCCCATCCCAAGGGCACCTGCCTGCCTCCCTGGCCTCCTCAGAGCCTCCCGAGCCACGCAGGCAGCAGCAGGCCAGGGAGGCAGGCCTTCCCCACCACGCCTCAGGCGGCCACACTTCTGGGGTCCCTGGCCTCCCTTTGACATAAATATTTAATATTTTAAATTTTAATATTTTCAAAAACTCACGAAACAGTGAGTCCACTAAAAGCGAACTGCTAAGTAGCAAGGGAACACTGTATTATGTATACAAGATTGGGTTTCCAAGTTACTCTGTAAGGGCTAAAGTATCAGAGAAAAATGTATAAATTCTCCTCCATAGAGAATCAGTGAAAAACAGCAACAAGGAAAATAGAAAAGAAAAAGGATTGATGTACTTAATAATTTGACTAATTGTTTCATTACCATGTTGTGACTAGAGAAAGAGTTGCTTCTTTCATTGCTAGGTTCAGAAAGTCAAGAAAGACTTCACCAGTCTCTTTGCTATTACTCCTCTCAGGGGTTGGTGGGAACTTCACTGACAACCCATGAAAAGCAACATATTCTGCTCCTCAGGGCGCCAGTAATTGCTTCTCTTGACACAGCAGGGCACCAAAATGCTAGAGAACCCTTTCCACACTTGAATCCCACATTCGTACAAATGACTATGTTGTCCTGCTGATCCTCACTCAGCAGTCACACATTAACACTGAAATGAGTATCCATCTGTTCCACACTCTACTGTTTTACTACTGTACTCTTCCAACTGTATTAAGGAACCCTGTCCACACTGACTTGCCCGCCTGCTAGGCCCAGAAAGTTACAGAAGTCTATTTTGCATATTCTAAGATTCATATTCATTTCATGTAGAGTACTGGCTTATTGGTACTTTATAGTTGCCCTGCATGAACCTCCAGCACAACTGCAATCATATGAAACATCCTCACAGGAAGCCTTTCAATGAAGCTTGTTTCCTACCCCACCTTTCAGGACAGAGTTTGGCAAAGTTAGGATGGAAACATGGGCTTCAAGGAGAAAGACAACACTTATGGAACAACTGGAAACAACTGAGAGATATTATAATTAACCTATGTATAAGAAAGAACATAAGAAAAGCCACACTGGATCAAACCTATGTGGCCCTATGTTCTTTTCACACAATGGCCAATCTCCTAGAAGTCAACTGGCAGGACTTAAGTGCAACTTCATCCTCTTATTCCATTCCCTGGCAACAGATAAACACAGGTGTACTGCTTCTGATCCTGGAGGCGATTAGTCAACTGTCCTGACTGGAAGCCACCGATGGCCCCAATTCTCCATAAATACATCTACCGTATATACATGTGTATATGTCCAGAAATTTTATTTACACATGACCCAAAAAATCTGAGTCAACTTGTAGAGTGGCAAAAGACAGGGGCTTAGTCCATCCTGGGAGAACCTAAATGCAGCACAGGCCGTCTTCTACTCTCTCTAATATGGTGCCAGTTCTGGCCTTTTTGAATGCTTGGGTGGGGAAACAGTGGTGGTTTTTTGGCACTTTTCTCAAAAGAGCACAGAGAGAGTAGATGGGGTTGGGGGGGGGGGGGTAATGGGATTGGGTGTTGTTTTTTAATTTTCCCAGGACAAAGCTCTTGTCTTTTGCCACCCTATCCGCAGGTCATATCAAAATACATAATGAGTTGCTGTAAGTTTTTTGGGCTGTATTTTATTTATTTATTTACTTACTTATTTATTTATTTATTTCCAATATTTCTGTCCTGCCCTTCTCAACCCCCAAGTGGAGACTCAGGATGGCTTACAAACCGGCCACACAAATATCAACATGTTAATACAGTAAACAAAACATTAATAAAACATTAAGTTAAAAACACATTAAACACATTGTCATCAACCATATAGCCAATTTCAGTCCAATTCAACATCCAAGGAGCTGTCATGCTTGCTGTCCAAAGGCCTGGTCCCAGAGCCATGACTTAACCTTCTTCCTAAAAGAAAGGAGGGAAGAAGCCGACCTGATCTCACTGGGGAGTGAGTTCCACAGGCGTGGGGCCACCGCCGAGAAGGCCCTGTCCCTCATGCCCGCCAAGGACATTTGTGAGGCTAGCGGACTGAGAGCAGAGCCTCCCTGGACAATCTTAAGCTACGAGGTGGGACGTAGAGAGAGATACATTGGCCATGTTCTAGAAACATTCTCTCCTGATGTTTCACCTGCATCCATGGCAGGCATCCTCAGAGGTTGAGAGGTCTGTTGGAAACTAGGAAAATTGGGTTTATATATCTGTAAAATATCCAGGGCGGGAGAAAGAACTCTTGTCTGTTGGAGGTAGGTGTGAATCTTTCAATTTACCACCTTGATTAGCATTTAATGGCCTAGCCTGGACATTCCACAGATATATAAACCCCATTTCCCTAGTTTCCAACAGACCTCACAACCTCTGAGGATGCCTGCCATAGATGCAGGTGAAACTTCTAGAACATGGTCATACAGCCCGAAAAACTTACAGCAACCCAGTGATTCCAGCCATGAATGCCTTCGAAAATCCATGAAAATCCATAATAATGGCTCCAAACCCTTCCCTCAACTGTTTACTTATATACAAGTATATATGAAAGTTTCATTTTAAAGTCAGCCAGGTTGTTGGCCATCACTGTAACCTGAGGCAATGCATTCTACATATTAATTATGCACTGTATGAAAAAGTTTTTCATTTTATCTGTCTTGAATCTCCCCCATTCATTTTCAGTGAATAATTTTAGGTTCCAGTGCAACAAAAGAGGGAGAAAAACTTCTCCTTATCTACTTTCTGCAGGCTATGCATAATTTTATATATCTTTTGTAATGGATTCTGTTACTTTTTTCCTATCTAAGACAAACAGTCCCAAACACTTTAACCTTCCTCATAAGTGAGTTGCCCCATTCCCTTTACCATTTTGGTTACCTTTTATTGCTTTGTGTGTTGATCTCTCAAATTCTTTCAAGCAGAGTGTGGCATCATTGTGCCCTTTTCTACACCTTTTCCAGTTCTACAGTTTCCCTTTTCAGGTGTATTGATGTGAACTATCCACAGATGGTCAGACTACAGATTTATAAAAAGACAAGAAGCTAAATATCCTTAATGCACTAGACCCCATTTCATCTTGAAAATTAAGTAGAAACAGCACTAGTTAGTACTTGAAAAGGAGACTACCAACAAACACCTAGGTGATGTAGGCTGCATTTCAGAGGAAGGAACTGGCAAAAACATGTCTGAGTATTCCTTACCTAAGAAAACTATGAAATTTATAGAGTCTGTATAAGTCAAGAGTGACTTAATCCACATACATACATACACATCATGATACTGCTAATTTAATTTTCATTAGCTTTCATGCCCAGGATATAACACCTGCCAGGTATAATAATCCTTCAAAGGCTCAGTCTGAAAGTCCAAGAGGAGGGAGAAATAGACACCTGAAAAATACTGCATTATTTTATGCAAGGATATGGAAGCTGGAGAATGTATGAACCACCAATAGAAAGCAATGTTTCATGTGAACCTTCTGTTTGGCTCCTGTCTGCTTAGCCTTACCTTTCCACAGCAATGGTATTGAAGGGTCATCATGACCAATGTCATAAGAGTCATTACCATCTTCCAGTTCGCTGTTGACAGTGTTGCCATTCCCAACATTCATGCTTTTTATAGTAAAGAAACTCTGCATCTTCACATTGTACCTAAAAGTATAAAGGGAAATTTAAGTTAGCAAAACCCTGAAAGGTCACTATTTTTTTTATAGCTGTGGTCATTGTACACTGCCACAATTACACCCAGTAGCCCAAATCCAATTGGCTGGCCCCAGTAGAAGTGGGTGTGCAGATCTGATTGTTGAATGGAGGCTTAAGACACAAGTAAAAACCCACTGACTATACTCCAGTTGCAACTACAGGCAGTCCCTGAGTTACAAACATCTGACTTACAAACAACTCATAGTTAAGAACGGAAGTGAGACAACAGGAAGTGAAAGAAATCTACTCCTAGGATGGGAATTTCACTCCTGAAAGAGTTATCATGGGAAAAAGTTGTCTCAAAGGAATCTTTATTACCAATCCTTGTTTCCTTGTTTAACTGGGTGAATCTGGTTTAGCCCTAGAATTACTGAATCATAGAGTTGGAAGGGACCTCATAGGCCATCCAGTCCTACCCCGTGCCAAGAAGCAGTACAATCGTGTTCAAAGCACCCTCCACAGATGGCCCTCTAGCCTCTGTTTAAAAGCCTCCAAAGAAGGAGTCCCCACCACACTTCTGGGTAGAGAGTTCTACTGCTGAACAGCTCTCACAGTTAGGAAGTTCTTCCTAATGTTCAGGTGGAATCTCCTTTCCTGTAGTTTGAAGCAATTGCTCCGTGTCCTAGTCTTCAGGGCAGCAGAAAACAAGCTTGCTCCCTCCTCCATATGACTTCCCCTTGCATATTTATACATGGCTATCATGTCTCCTCTTAGTCTTCTCTTCTGCAGGCTAAACATGTCTAGCTCTTTAAGCTGCTCCTCATAGGACTTGTTCTCCAGACCCTTGATCATTTTAGTCACTCTCCTCTGGACACATTCCACCCTGTCAATATATCTCTTCAATTGTGGGGACAATTGCGGAGTCTGCCTGAAACTCCAGAGTAACCTTGCATGATCAAGTCTGATTTGGACTGATCTGCTGTCCACGCAGGGCACTCAGAAGTCCAGGAGAAATGGGATGGATCATGCCTGTGTCACTACTGCTCCCAGTTACCTACAGTGCTCTGTGTGAGATCCTAGCCTTTGCAGGTGCCTGTGCAAACATGACCAGAAATGCAGTGGGGATATTGGCTCCCTCCTTCTTTCTGGTTGTGTGTGCATCTCTGCTAAAGTCAGAACATGGCAAAGGTGAAAGCCAGGAAGTCACATGGCACTATGTTGCCATCTGGGAGGATTGCCATAAAAATCTATCTAACATGGAGAATGCAACAGCTTTATAACAGGAATGTTAGATATTATGATTTACCTAAGTTATTGTGCAGCATCTATATAAATAAAAATGTAATGTTCGTCTGTGGGATTAACATAACTCAAAAACCACTGGGTGAATTGACACCAAATTTGGAGACAATGCATCTATCAGGCCAACGAGTGACCATCACTCATAAAAACACTGAAAAATACAGAAGAGACTTTAAAAGCCAAAAAAACCCCAAAAATTACATTACAATGCATGCGCAAAACCACATATATACATGTGCACATGTATATACACTTATACACAAATATATACACACACATATACGCACAAAAACACATGTACACAGACTCGGCCACAGCAACGCATGGCAGGGGATGGCTAGTTAGGTATATATTTTAACACGACATACAGACACACAAAGAACAGAAGAAGTGAAGAAAACTTACTTCATGATAAGTATGTAGAATGTGTACATAATGATGAGTATAAGGCTTTCCCACCTCAAAGAAATAAAAAGTAAGAAAATTAGTAGTGTATCACCTGATAAAACTGGATATGCCGATAAGGCATATGTTCTAAGCGGGAGGAGCACAGTCAATATCGTGATCAATATTTCCCATCTTTTATGTGTGTGCACACCTCAGTTTTTAGAAACTGTAATGGTCCATCTCTTTACTCCTTGCTTTTTTCTTTTTGCTGTCAGTGTCTTTTTCTCAGTACAGCCCATTCAAATGACATGGTGATTTCTAAGTCTCCCTGTGTCAAATCTCTTTCCCCCCATTTGTTTCCTTGGATGTCTTGATTTACTTTGTCATTACTTTATTCACCATCTCTAATTAATTCATTCATTTAGAGCCCACCCTTCAGCCAAAAAGGCTCCCAGAGCAGCTAACAAAGTATTAATTTGACAGTTCTCTGGCTTACAATGTAAAAAGAGAGGAAAATAAGTAAAAGTGAGTGGCAATGCAGGGAAAAGTACAACACATTCTGGGTGTTCTTCTCTTTCTATCCTCAAAGAGATGGAACCATGGCACTTAAATTGGAATCATAGTGCTATAACGTTGTAGTGTGGAAAGGTCTCATCTTCATTGGCAGATAGGGAGGTCTCATAGCATTAGAGACTATCTGTTTTGTGTGCTCAATAGTTTACTTCCATTTCAATATTGATTTTACTATATATGCATTTGTATTAATTTGTAAGCCAACTTAAATATTTTAGGAAAAAGTTGACAAATGTGCAGTGATACTACTACTACTACTAGTAGTAGTAGTAGTAGTGATAATAACAACAATAATAATTGTATTGTCGAAGGCTTTCATGGCTGGAATCACTGGGTTGTTGTAGGATTTTCAGGTTATATGGCCATGTTCTAGAAGCATTCTCTCCTGATGTTTCGCCTGCATCTATGGCAAGCATCCTCAGAGGTTGCTTGCTATAGATGCAGGTGAAACGTCAGGAGAGAATGCTTCTAGAACATGGCCATATAGCCCAAAAAACTTACAACAGCCCACAATAATAATTGCATTACTTTTCAGCCAACAAATATGGGAGTAGCACTGTAACTTTCTTCCCAGTAGAGTAGCACTGGTGGGAAGTAAGGCGTTAGTTTGTCCCATTGGCATCAATGGGACCACCCATCACCTCACTTTCCATATTACCACAGTAAGATGGCAAAGCTATGGATGTAGCAGTTGCTCCAACCCAGATTTCCCACCTACTCTTTGACCCCACAAGGCAAGAACTATCTGCCTGTCAAGCTTTAATTAAACTACATGAATAAATAAAAAGCACAGCTTACCATACTATTTTCTCATCATATATAAACTAAAAGAGAGGAGAAATAAAAAGACAACAAGAAAAATGATATTTCTCTAGCCCGATGAAAGCAAATATTAGCATTGCTTAGTATATTTCTGATCCCCTTCCCAACTGCTAAGGAAGTCCACGAGCCACCATGAAGCGTGAAAGGAACCATCAGAGGATGATAGCTATATCTCAAGCCTGAAGGCAGCTATAATAGTTTCCATGAAGTCTAAATAAGATGCTTCATCAAAAAATGTCTGTGCCATGCAGTAGAGATGAGGAATGTATGGTCCTCCGGGTATTCTTGGACTACACTCCCACATCAAATCTCACTTTTATTGTCTTTATTGGCCACAACAAATGGAAGTTCAGTCTAACAGCATCATGATCTGGGGTGCTACACAGAATCCTCAATATATATTTTAAGATCCATTATGTATTAATTTAGAACAGTGGTTCTCAACCTGGGGTCCCCAGATGTTTTTGGCCTACAATTCCCCAAAACTCCAGCCAGATGTTAGGTTTTCTGGGAGTTGAAGGCCACAAACTTATGGGGACCCCAGGCTGAGAACCACTGATTTAGAAGATGCTTTTAAAGAGAAGGTTTCAAACGAATACAAACTTTCTACAGAGGTATAAACCCTCACAGATTCATTCTTTATATTAAAACTGAGCATAAGAGCTTAGACTAAAATGGAAACTTACCACAATAAGAACAATCACAGACAGTGTATAGTAGACAGAATCCCTGCACACAGACCACCAGGTCAGCCGGACCACCTGGAAAAGTAGACACAGTTACTCTCCATGCAGCAACTTTTAGTTATCACCTTAGCAATTATTTGTTTTTAGAACTGAATTTGGAAGATTTGAAATTTAGCTTCTCTAAATGTGAGTGATACTTCTCAGGCAGGGCGTGATTCACAAAAAGATGTATGCCACCTGCTTCCTCCCTTATCATTTATACATAACATTTGGCATTTAAAACCTAAGGTTCCGACTAAGAACTATATTTAGGTTGCTGTTCCCTTTTGCCCACAGTCTGGAAATTCCCTATTCTTGTCTTATAGACAAGCAACTGTATAAGAGACATTCAGAAGAAGTATTTATGTAGATTGTCACAGAATGCAGCAACCTGTATGGCTACATAAAGTGTCAAAAGCTCAAGAGTCTCTGAAATAGAATTGATTCACACTGCTGTTTGCATTCTTAACAACATGGTCTTCATTGTATTGTCGAAGGCTTTCATGGCCAGAATCACTGGGTTGTTGCAGGTTTTTTCAGGCTATATGGCCATGTTCTAGAGGCATTCTCTCCTGACGTTTCACCTGCATCTAAGGCAAGCATCCTCAGAGGTAGTGAGGACCTCACTGCCTCTGAGGATGCTTGCCACAGATGCAGGCGAAATGTCAGGAGAGAATGCCTCTAGAACATGGCCATATAGCTCGAAAAAACCTACACCAACCCATGGTCTTCATTTCAACAAAGGTCCTATGTGGAAAACTGCTGAACAATAATCTAATTTGACCATATAACTCCCTCCACACCTCCTGTGTTGTTATTTAGAATTAAGGTAAAAGTTTCCCCTTGACATTAAGTCTAGTCGTGTCCAACTATGGGGGGTAGTGCTCATCTCAGTTTCTAAGCCGAAGAGCTGGTGCTGTCATAGACACCTTCAAGGTCATGTGCTGGCATGACTGCATGGACTGCCATTACCTTCCCACAGAAGCAGTACCTATTGATCTACTCACATTTGCATGTTTTTGAACCATTAGGTTGGCAGAACCTGGGCCTAACAGTGGGAGCTCACCCTGCTCCCCGGATACGAACCGGCAACCTTTTGGTCAGCAAGTTCAGCAGCTCAGCGATTTAATCCGCTTTGCCACCAGGTTAAACTATAATTATTATAGCAAATAATAATATTTTTTGCAACTATGGCAGAGTAAGTTTGGGGAACCAAATATTGTGGCCGTATTATAAAAGAGTTTATATATGTAAACAGTACACATTACAATACATGCTGAAGAGCAGATGTGGTAAGCCACCTGTCACCTTACTTGGAAACTGAAAATTAACCAAAACCGTAATCTATTTATAGAGATTTGTCAAATGGAAACTAGAACTACAAATGTAATGAGCACAGTCCAGGTCATATATTTCACTTTTTAATATGCACTTTCTCCAAAAAAATTAAAGTGGTCCCACCACCAAAAGGGTTATTTCTTTGTAGGATTTTGTTTTGTGGAGGAAGCAAGGACCAGGTCTTGGTTTAGAAGAAGGTGTTTAGAAGAAGGTGGGGTTTAAAACTTTTCCATGAAAACCCTGACGGGCAGTAAATAAAAATGGGTTACAATGAAAGCATGGGAGAGGAAGCCGCTTAAAATGATTTTGATAGTTTAATATTGTTTGTGTGGTCATTTTATTTGTTTTTAAGTTTTATTGTAAATATTTTTAATTAACTATTTCTGGGAGCTGCCTGGGATCCCATTCTGGGAAAAAAGTGGCATACAAAACAAACAAAATGATACAATTGGTACTGAAATAAGAATTTCAGTACCAATTGTGGAACGCCCTGCCTGCAGATATCAGATTGGCCCCCTCTTCAGAGGAAAGTGAAGACCTGGTTGTTCGAACAAGCATTTGATTAAACAGTGTAATTGAACATAGGAATACGGAATAATGGATGATGAGACTGGATTCTGATTTTACTGTTGAGGCGCTAATGATTGTTATACTGATGTTTAATGATTTATGTTACAATTGTTTTTAATTGCCCTATACTTGTCTCATGATGTTTTGTATCGATGTTGTTCACCGCTTTGAGTCGCCTGAGGGCTGAGGAAAGCGGTATATAAATAAAGTAAATAATAAATAAATAAATAAATTTATTCTACAAGATATTTTATTTACTCTATTTGGGTGCAATGGTAAGGAAGCAGAGAGGGGGGGAAATCCTTTACAAACCTGTCCAGCGAAGATACCACAAACACCAATGATGCAGAGGATATTGAAAACAGCTGAACCTACAATGGTTCCAACACCTACGTCCCCATGAGTGATAAACACACCTGGAAACAGAAAGAAGAGGAAGGTGAGCAACAGATGTACATCACTGTAATTGGATAAATAAAATTTGGACAACAGTTTTATTTAAAAATGATAAGTCAAACAAAATATGTGAAAAAAGAGAAATAACTTGATAATTTTGGTATTGGCTTCCCTTCATTTCACTTGTAAAGAAAGAACATTCTCCATGTCAGCTGTCAAAACATTTTAACTGATCCCAGGGTCAAAATGATATACCGATACTACTGTACATAGCTATACTTGTATAACCAGACTGATTGATAACTGGCAAATAGAGGGAGAAAATGTGGAGGCAGTGACAGGTGCAAAGATTACTGCAGACACAGACTGCAGCCAGGAAATAAGAAGACATTTACTTCTTGGGAGGAGAGCAATGACCAATCTTGATAAAATATTGAAGAGTAGAGACATCACACTAGAAATGAAGGTCCACATATTAAAGCAATGGTATTCCCCGTAGTAACCTATGGATGCGACAGCTGGGCCATAAGGAAGGCTGAGCGAAGGAAGATTGACGCTTCTGAACTGTGGTGTTGGAGGAAAATTCTGAGAGTACCTTGGACCGCAAGAAAATCAAACCAGTCCATATTCCAGGAAATAATACCAGGCTGCTCACTGGAGGGAAGGATATTAGAGGCAAAGAGGAAGCACTTTGGCCACATAATGAGAAGACAGGAAAACTTGGAGAAGACAATGATGTTGGGGAAAATGGAAGGAAAAAAAGAAGAGGGACTGATGGGTGGATGGATGGTATCCTTGAAGTGACTGGCTTGACCTTGAAAGAGCTGGTGGTGGCCACGGCCAATAGGGAGCTCGGGCATGGGCTGGTCCATGAGATCACGAAGAGTTGGAAGTGACTGAACGAACAAACAACAAATACTTGTATCCCCAGCATTTGGGGGAACAGTTCCATAAACCATATACGCCTTTAGATAGATTCCTTACCTATGACAGATGCAAATAACTCTGGGGTTGAGCTTCCTGCAGCCATAAATGTGGCTCCAGCAACATCTTCACTCAGATGTAGTTTCTAAAAGAAAGTCAAAGGTAGGATTCATCAACTTGCCATAATATCCCTATATTCCTATTTTAAAAAACAGATATGAGAAGGGGCAACAAAGTCAAGTCTCAAATGTCAATATCAGTATAAATTAGTAATGTAAATAATTGTATAGATTTATTTTCATAGATAAGAACCAGAAAAAAATCTCTTTTCTCTGCTATAAGAAAATTCTTTTAAAATAGTTATCAAGGACTTTTTTGGTATTTATCCCCCAAAATGAAACAAAAGTCAAGCAAGCTTGAAAATACCCATTCCTCACCAAAAAGTGCAAAATTTATCTTCTTGGAAATGTGCTTTCTGTGCAGAAAAAGTAGTTGTCTGCACAGAAAAAAAAAACCTATTTGCATTTTTCTTGCAGAATAACTCCCAAATGGGGAAAATGCATGTCTTGAAGGTTTTTTCTTGATACAATGTCCACCTGTCATTTGTGTATTCTTTGCATTTCTAGTTTACACATTTCACATAAGTGAGGCTGGGTCAAGCCAGGAATGGTTAGAAATAGATTGCCCAAAGGCCCATCAGAAGGTTATAAAGGATAAGACAATTTTCTCCCCTCTCTCCTCAGCATAGCAAAGCCAGGTTCATATGGGCAACAATTATTTTTCACATACCTCACAGATTTTCTCTAAAGATGGAACAAAGAAATCATCACAAACTATAGCCAAAGCATAGAACATATACAGAGCCTGTGGAGAAAAAGCAAAGACAAAGAACATATTACAAAAAAACCAAAACATGGGTTATAAGTGAAACATTCTAAAAAAACTCCCAATATTAATTCAAGGAGTAATTATAGTGGTGACCTGCTCAGCCATGGGAACTGCCTGGTTGGCACAGAATCATAGAGTTGGTGGGAGACCTTGTGAGCCATCCAGTCCAAACCCCTGCCAAGAAGCAGGAAAATTGCATTCAAAGCACCCCTGACAGATGGCATCCAGTCTCTGTTTAAAAGCCTCCAAAGAAGGAGGCTCCACCATACCTCACAAGCTTGGCTGGTGGGGACAAGGGAAAGGGCCTTCTCTGTGGTGGCTCCTCGGCTCTGAAACACCCTCCCCAGGGAGATCAGACAGGCTCCCATTCTCAATTTTCCACAAGGAATTAAAAACTTGGCTGCTCCATTGTGCCTTTGATTAGGCAGTTCACCACAGAATTTCCCAACCTATCCAGCTCCTGCACTTTAACATGGCCCCTTTCTAGCACTTCTAACACTTTAATAGCCTAAGGACATTTGCCTCCTAGCCCAGCCCTCCAATTGTCGCACTTTCCCTGGCTCTACTTAGGATTCTTTGCACTTAGTATTTATGAACCAAACCCAGCACTTTCTTTGCTCAGCCATTATATTGCTTTTAATTGTTTTTATAATGTTGTCTGATTTTATGGTTATTTATGTTTAATATTGCTTGTTTTTCGATGCTTATTTTAACCTGTTTTGTTGGGCTTGTCCCTTCGTAAGCTGCCCCAAGTCCCTTCTGGGAGATAGAGGTGGGGTATAAAAATAAAGTTATATTATTATTATTATTATTATTATTATTATTATTATTATTATATCAAATCTACTCTGAGAAGCTAAACACGGTTAGGCCTGATTAGTACTTGGAAGTAGGATCACCAAGGAATACCAGACACTGTAGGCTTTATTTCAAAGGAAGGCAATGACAAATCACCTTTGAGTATTCCTTGGCTAAGAAAACACTATGAAACTTTAGTTGCCATAAATTTGCAATGGATTTGGAGGCACATGCACACATAGCCTAGGTCACCACACAATCCAGAAACAAGTGAAATCCTGGCTGTGGGATCAGGCTTTTGCAGACTAGATGGACTTGATGGCAAAGCTATGGTTTTAATGCACTCTGATGGACTGTTTTTAAGATGATGAATTAAACTGGTGATTGTTTTAATATTTTTATAATGTTTTATACTGTTTTTACTTAATATGTTTATCTATATTGTTAGCTGCCCTGAGTCCCTCTGAGGAGGTCGAGACAGGACGGTATATAAATGGTCTAAATAAATAAATAAATCTAGACAATGATCTGTGGTATGATCCAGAGGGTCCTTCTTTGGAGGCTTTTAAGCAGTGAACAGGAATTAAACAACCTATGTACAGGTTGTTATGATGCATGCCCATAAATCCAATCACCTGAAGAGTGGACCAGGCAAAACAGCAGGCCCATTCATCCTCTTCCTCCTCCCATAAGCTGAAGGAAGGTTGGACATGATATCATCACAATTTCTTCGCATTTGGCTTCATAGCTGCTTCTTCTGCAGATAGGTTAACTCAGGGCAAGATGAGATCATACCACACATTTTGTACAAAAGAAGAGAACAAAAGGCATAGTATAATCAAATATCTCCTACAATGTCTAGTTCCAATAAGATTTGACATCACCAGAAATGCAATATTGCAGTAAGCCTCTGGGAGGGAACTGCTTGCTTGAGGCAACATGGAGGTGGGTCAATTGGCAGTGTGGACAGTGGATCAGGCTGCATCTCACCCAATCCAGCTATCCACACCTTGAAAACTATGGAGTCATTCTGGAGCTTTCTGGAACCAAGTTTAGGGTGAAGCCTATGTTCTATTGATTGGGATGCAGCATGTGTCACGTAGACTCCCTGAAGCAATCCAATGGTGAGTCCATTTTATTTTGGCCATGTATTCATGGCTCATGGCTCTACCTAGACTGTGTTGTTTAGTTTGGCTGGCAGCAAATCCCTAAGTCCTCATTTCTGTTTCTTCTCCTGCATCAGTTTCATTTTCCATCCACAATTACATTCTTCCTTGATTTCTTTAGCATCTTACAATTTAAAAAAAATCTTTTTTGTTACAATAGAGCATTGGTTGTACAGTAGAGCACTGATTAATTCATGAATTTCTATCTTGGGAGGAAGGCAGGGTAGATATTCGATAAATAAATACAGCATAATACAATACAGGGCCCTTTACATCGGTATAAAATAAAGCAATGTTTCTTAAGAGATCTCATATGACTTTTCCCATAATGTATACAATATGTGTATTTATTGACTATTATTGGTTTTCCCCACTAAAACTTTCCAGAGACCAGCACTGATCCACAGACCACTATTCTGAATAGTTCTGAGACACACACACACACACAAAAAAAAAAACCATGTATTTTTGGCATAGAAAAAGGCAGCTGTCTTCTACTAGGTAAAATGCTTGTTTAACTTAGTAATATCTACTTCAATTAGTAGATTGCAAGCAGGGAAAGTACTTTAAATATTAGATGTCAGGGATTGGACCTATGGCTTTCTGCATACCAAAAATGGGCTCTGAGCTACAGGTCCCCCTGAGTAATAGGGATGCATTAAGAAACTATGATTGCCCATGAGTTTTCAAGACAACTTACATCTTATTAAATATAATATTAAATATTAATATAATAATAATAATAATAATAATAAACTTTATTTGTACCCCGCCACCATCTCCTCCAACGGGGACTCGAGGCAGCTTACATGTATATAAATGTATATAAATAATGTATATAAATATACATTATATATTATATGTATATAAATAAATAATGTCTATAAATGTATATAAGCTTAATATTTGAACACTTATACCAACATCTGTATGAAAACCTGACTGTACTTACACCAATAATATGAAGCAAAATTGCTCCTTGCTGTCTTTCCTGATTTGTGAATAGGTCTTCAGGGAATTCATGAATTGCTGAAAGAGAGAAAGGTGAACAGAAAAGATTGACTCACAACACTGAAATTATAGCAACTTCTTAACAGGCAGGAAAGGTTAGGGGTAACTGAGCCTCTGTGGACACCAAAACTTTCCCTATTTCTCATAAACCATAAACAAGTGAAGCTCAATCCAATTAATTGTCTGGACATACAGATCATAGTCCCAAAAACAACATCAACAACGAGTAAATATCTGTGTGCAGAGATTTCTTTTTTGAGGATATAGTTATCCCAATAGAGATATGATAGACAATGGGGAAGTGGGGAATTGTTTGGATGTTTATTTATTTCCAATGTTTGTCTGTCATTTTTCATTTAAAATAAGTCTCAAAGCTCTTCACACAAAAACAATAAAATCTTCATTTCGTTCACGTCCTCTACATCAAGCATGCATACTGTATGATTTTCTTTCTTCAATATAATATTGGCTGTGCTAGACAATAATTCTCCAACATTCCCCACTTTGTAGACTGGTAACTTTGATGGGTTAATTAAAATCAAAAGCTTACTTGGAGATCTGGTTGCCACAAATGGAAGTCACTGTTGCTGTCCTGTAACTAAGGGCCCTTCCAGACAGGCCCTATATCCCAGGATCTGATCCCAGGTTTTCTGCTTTAAACTGGATTATATGAATCTACACTGCCAGATAATCTGGAATAGAAAACCTGGAATCAGACCTTGGAATATAGGGTCTGACTGGAAGGGCTGTGAGTCAACACATCCAGGTTACCTTACAAATGTTTGTTCTCCTGCATTTCCAAGGGTCTGAAAAACATCAGTTTAAAAATGCCACCATATTGCTCTGAAAGAATAATGAATTTGTGATGATCCTTTAAGGACATTATCAGACTGGGCTTGGAAAACATCTTAGGATGCTGCCCAGCCAATCCAGCTATGGATATTTACACTGCCCATCCACACTACTGGAATGAAAGCATCATACTTCATTTCCCTCCAAATACGATCCTGCCCATGTTGTGCTTGCTCCATTGGAGCTCACCGCTTGGGCAACACTTCCCAAGTGTGATGGGAGAAGCGATGCTTCAAGGGAGTGGCATGCAGGATGACAGATTCATCCCACTGTCCCTCTGTTCGGCGGTGAAGCCAGGCAAAGTGGGAAGCTTTGTCTGGCTCATGTCATAAGACCATAAGTTACATGAATTGAATCAGAGCCAGTGATTTTTAATCAATGATCACTGAAGCTACCATTGGGAACCATCCAAGCTATTTGAGCTTCTTTACTTCTCCATATTTTAAAGACATCCACCCTCTGAGGAGCAATCTTCCAATCCACTCCTCTTATTTTAGGAGGTAACCCATCTCATTACAAAGGGAGGGGGAAAAGACAACTGCCTTCCCATGCCAATGGATGCATCATTTCCACTTCCACAATGTATGTGGAAGGTAAGGCTTGAAAGTACAGCCTTTGTGCACAAAATCCAACATGTATACATGAAAATTTTCTTTTGGTAAGGGTAATCTTGTTTAGGCTAGATAAAATATTATAAATCTCTACATAGATGTGAGGATATGTTGCAAAACAGAGACTCCCTTTTCTCTCAGGAATTGGCCCTTATCTTAAAGTAAACGCCTGGCTTGAGAGCAGTACGTGTGAAAAAGATCTTGGAGTCCTCGTGGACAACAAGTTAAACATGAGCCAACAATGTGATGTGGCGGCAAAAAAAAGCCAATGGGATTTTGGCCTGCATCAATAGGAGCATAGTGTCTAGATCTAAGGAAGTAATGCTACCCCTCTATTCTGCTTTGGTTAGACCACATCTGGAATATTGTGTCCAATTCTGGGCACCACAATTCAAGAGAGATATTGACAAGCTGGAATGTGTCCAGAGGAGAGCGACTAAAATGATAAAAGGTCTGGAGAACAAGCCCTATGAGGAGCGGCTTAGGGAACTGGGCATGTTTAGCCTGAAGAAGAGAAGGCTGAGAGGGGATATGATAGCCATGTATAAATATGTGAGAGGAAGCCACAGGGAGGAGGGAGCAAGCTTGTTTTCTGCTTCCTTGGAGACTAGGACGCGGAACAATGGCTTCAAACTACAAGAGAGGAGATTCCATTTGAACATTAGGAAGAACTTCCTGACTGTGAGAGCCGTTCAGCAGTGGAACTCTCTGCCCCGGAGTGTGGTGGAGGCTCCTTCTTTGGAAGCTTTTAAGCAGAGGCTGGATGGCCATTTGCCAGGGGTGATTTGAATGCAATATTCCTGCTTCTTGGCAGAATGGGGTTGGACTGGATGGCCCAGGAGGTCTCTTCCAACTCTTTGATTCTATGATTCTATGATTCTAAAGATTGTGAATTGTGAAGACCCTGTGCAAATACAATATGGAGCTCCCTTCTATTCTCTTTCCAGTGTCAACAATGGCTTATAGTAGGACACTTGTAATGATTAAAAGTTTACATTACAAGCTAGGTTATCTGAATTTGACCATGTGTTTTATGTCAATATGATTATGATAACAACTGTGGTCACTTCCAGATTTCACTTAAATTAGCGCCAAAGTAGGTTTAAGAAACCTGCTCCAGCATGCATTTAAGTCCCTACATGCTTCCTGGGAGGGGGGTGTCTAGGTGCCCTCCCAGTAACTTCCAGGAGGGTAACAATTCACGCAGAAGCCCTTAAAATTAAAAAATATATACTCAGCTGCCATTAAAGTACTGCTGGAGTCCTCCTGGCATGTAGAATTGATGCACCGGGGGAGCGGGGAGGAGGAGCACCTCAACCCACCTCTCCTAGTGTGTTATTTCTATGTACCAGGAGAACCCCAGCAAAGCTTTAATGGTGGCTGTTTTTTTATTTTAAGGACTTATTTGGGAGGGTTTGGGGAGTGGTTGGGTGCTCTCTTGGTTTTCCGGGCTCATGGAGCCTGAAAAACCCAAGATCGCTGTGTAAATTGGCCCCAGGGATTGCATAACACGGTCCCTGGGCCCAATCCATACTGGGCTCATACCTGGAAAGACCCAGATCTTATCAAAGGTTCAGGTCTTACCAGGTATCTAATTAATTCAGGACAAAGGGTTTACTTGCTTTGTCACAAATTAATTCAGTTTTACCAGAGGTGTCATTTGAACACCTCCGGTAAAATCAAGAAAGGTCTCGAGTCAAAGGCCTGTTTGGGTGGGCCCTGTATTGCATGAAACCAGGTTTTCCATCTCTCTACCATAGTTCCTCAAATCCTAACTATGACATTAAAGACTGTTCCCCTCCAAATGTGGTGCAGTCTTTTTCTCTCAAGTTTTAAACAGAGACCAAGTAGTCATTTGTCAGGAGTGCTTTGACTGGATACCCCTTGGGTGGTCTTCCAACTCTAGAATTTTATTATTTTGGAGTGCACTAGAAGAATCTTGAAGAAATGTGTAATAATGAAACATGCTACCAAGATGTATAAAGATTGTCAGGAAAGGACTGCTGTCATTCCAATATGATATTAAAAATGTATAGTTTTCACAGTGATGCCACAGTACTGCCAACCACTAAAAATAAAATGCCCTTCTAAAAAAAAGGCTCAAGCTCAGTCCCATGAAGCATTTTGACCTCCTGAAATTCTAGCCAAAACGAGCTAAATAAATATCAGCAATGTAAACTGCATTAAAGAACTGAATTATTAATAACAAGGTCAGAAGTATAGCCAATAAATCACTTGAAAATTAAATAGGGAATCAACAGGGAAGCAGCACATAAACATTGTTTTGAGACAAATATAACCTTTCCTGGTTGCACTTTCAGTATCCAGAGATACAAAACTATTCAGCCTATGTTAGATGGGGTTACACTCTATGGGAAAATGCAGGTTCACAGTTAGGGGGTACTCCTGGATTTAGCTCTGTACCTGGAAGCCCAAGTATCAGCCTTAGTACATACCTTGGTTACATTCCAGTTGGACTACTGCAATGCGCTCTACATGGGGGTGCCTTTGAAAAGTGCTCAGTAACTTCAGTTGGTCCAAAGAACAGCAATAGAACTGCTACAGGGAGTGGGCAACTCCTCGATTACAGTGGCTCCACTGACTGCTAACAAGTTTCCAGGCACAATTCAAAGTGCTGGTTTTGACCAACAAAGCCCTATACGTCTCTGGTCCAAGTTATCTGGAGGACTGTATCGCTTTCTCTGAACCTGGCATACATTTACGATCAACTGGGGAGGGCTTTCTTCCCATCCCACCACCCACTCAAGTACACTTCTGGTGCGACCCTGCATTCCAGAGTGATGAGGACAGCTGAACCGGATCCAATTTGAACTAGTTCACATGGCAGGTGCTGCTGTCCCCCTTTTGTCTTTATTTGAGTCACAGTATGGTTGAGAAAGGTGGGCTATAAATGTTGTAAATAAATAAATGAATAGATAATAAGAGTGACCATTTAGTGGGCTGAACCAGATTCGACTGAATTGAATGTCTAAACCCCCCTTCTACACATCTCTACTTTTTTAACCCATGCATTTCTGAAAGCATAAAGTTTAAACTATAAGTATTTTCACACCGGAAAACATTATGTTCTGACATATGTGACCCCAGATAAATGGGTATATAAGATAAGTATAAAAATCAAACATTTGCTGATAATAAATCAGCACTCACAAGGCTTTCTAAACAGGCTGATTTTTTATTGAAGTACAGCTGAAGCATCATCTGCAGAGTCCACTGTAAACACTGCATAACAGATTTGTGTAAATGTCTAAAACTTTTACTGTTACTAGACTTTTCAGGACCCCGACATTGGGCTTTGGGGTCGGGACCCACAGTTTAAGAAGCAAAGGTCTAGACGTCACTTCTGCCACCACCCTGGCTCGAGGCCAGAGCATGTAAACAGCTCTGCAGAATCAGAGGCCAGTTTGAAACAGCAATGCTCTGGACAGGTCTCAAATCTCCATGTTCGTGTAGATGAGTCCTTAATTCCTTAATTCCTAGCCTAATGCTTTCACTTCTTCCAAATTGTGCCTGAAAGACCAATGTACAAGTTGC